GGGGATACTTGGAGGGTCGGGAGACTTAGTAAGTAGGTAATAAGTAGACCTATAAGTACCCTAAACGGGACCCTAATTGGAGTTATAGTACTTATAAGTCTATAGAATAACCATATACTAAGTCCCCGACCCTCCAAGTAGTGCAGTTTCTGACGTTCAAAAAGCGGGGTTTAGGGTTGAGGGTTTAGGGTTTAGGGGCAGCCAGTCGCATCATAGTAGAGTGTTCGTAAAGGACTAGCATGGATAATCGTTGGGGCTAAAGCATCAATGTGGGGATGCTCTAACTTTCAACTTACGATAATCTTTGCCTGAGATTCTCTGTGAATTCTGCGGAAGTGGCTCGTAGAGTCGTAGGCTGCTTGCATCCTCTTGTTCCGAACCCTTTCATATGGGTAGTTCTCTAATTTCGAGAACTACCCTTCTGCATGACCCCGACATGGCATTCTCGTCTGCAGAGGATTTGAGTACCATCCTGCTGCAGGTCAAGGCACGCCTCGTTAGCGAAGGGCCTTTGACGCACGCGCTCAGGCCTGAAAGCTTCTCGCAGGTCGAGGTGAGAATCGGCACCGGGATGCTGGTGGGCATACTTCTTTTCTTTAGCTTTGTGCTGATGCATGAGCTCTTCGTGGGAGCAGGAGGGAAGCCGCTCTTAGCAAGGAGGGATGGTAGCAACTCAACACTGCTCCAGCTTGGCTTCTTGATTGGCTGGTTTGTGCCTTTCGTCACCAAGTCGCTATCGATACCTATTTCGCTGGATTACGCGCTGGCTATGGGAGAGTCCGCCACCGCAAGCGGAGTGATGATCGGGACCATGCCAGTGGGTGCACTCGTCGGCACCTTGCTTGGGAAGAGATTCACCAACGAACAGGACTGGGACCAACGCCATGCTCGTAAGGTCTTTGTCTGCTGCTATGGACTCAATGTGTGTTTCATGCCGGCCATTGCTTTGCTCATCCAGTCCAGCGTCGGATGGAGTGTAGAGGCCAAGCGCATGGTTTTTTGGCTTGTAGTCTATCTGACTTTTGTAGCCAATGTGCTCGGTGGTATGATCATGATTCCGTGGTGCACCATGTGGAATCTGGTTACTCCCCACGATGACAAGACGTTTTGGTCGATGCTGGCCCAGTGTTCCAAAAACTGCGGCTTCATCGCGGGTCCGATCTGCTTTGCCATCCTAAGCCGCTTCGTTCGGGGAAGCTACGCCAGTGACGCAGTGTCCCCAATCAGCATGATGAGCTGGGTCCACATGGGCATGTTCTTTGTCCAGGCCACTGGCTTAGCGTAAACCCTAAACCCTAAACCCTAAACCCTAAACCCAAAACCCCTTCTGTTCTTTGTCCAGGCCACTGAGTTAGCGACCGTCGCCGCCATCCTTCCCACTCAAATTCCGGATGTGAGCCCCCAGGCGAGCGAGGACAAGTGCAATGCAAAGGACGCCTTACAGGAACCTCCCATGGGCTTTAGGGTTTAGGGTTTAGGGTTTAGGGTTTAGGGTTTCTTGTTCTCTACTAATACCAACAAAGAGCCTTCATAGTACGACTCATAAAGTTGAAAATATTAAGTGATCATATACTAATACAATACTGTAAAAATGTAATTGTTGTGTTGGGAGTTCCAGACTGCAAGGATGTTGAGCCCGAGAGCTTGAGCGAAGACGCGCGTGAGCAAATCGTGTGGCATCTCGACTGCAACTTCCTTGCTGTTGCTTCGCATCTGAGATTTCTCAGAATGAAGTCCTGCTTTCCGTACCCATCAGTCACTTGTATCAAGGAAGAGTGAGCTCCACTTCGATGACGCTGTCTCTTATGCCCGTATTCGTAGCCCTAACTTTCTCAGCAGTTCCTTGACTGTAGCCAGGGTTCCAAAAGTGCTCGAGGAACATGGTGTACTACGCCTATGAGCGATGCTTCTCCATCTCCGCAATAGAGGTGGCCACCATAATGCTCTTAGAGGCAGGGTTGTTTTCCTTGCCCTTTCTGGTGATCAAATCTAACTCCTCCAGGCACTATTCTCCTGCAGTACTCACTGACCCTTGAGCAACCCTACAGTCATGTAATGCCGTATATCCGGCGGTTCATTCCCGGGCCTAGCCCTAAACCCTAAACCC